CGACCGTCGCTCACGTCGAGCTCAGCAGGAACAGAATTGGTGTCGAGGGCGCCAAGGCCCAGAGCTTCCGGTGCTTTTTCGCCTAAGCACGGCATCCCTTTTCCAGGCGTTGGCTGCGGCCCTCGAGAAGAACGCGACCGTCGCTTACATCGACCTCAGCGACAACGCAATTGGTGACGAGGGGGCCAAGGCCCAGAGCTTNNGGCATCCCTTTTCCAGGCGTTGGCTGTGGCCCTTGAGAAGAACGCGACCGTCGCTCACGTCGACCTCAGCGACAACGGAATTGGTGTTGAGGGCACCAAGGCCCAGAGCTTCCGGTGCTTGTTCGCCTAAGCACGGCATGCAGTGTACAAGCCCTACATCGTGTAGAGTATTATGGGGCGACGGTTGTATTTCATTGCTGTGTGGTCGCACTGCAGCCGTGGCACGCTGGCGGCCACGCGTCTGTGTCCGCATGCCTGACTGCTTTCAATAGAAGCCTGACAAACCCATACTTTGACCAACCTTTCCTCGAACCCCAGTACCTTGGAACAGAAACGATGGAGCGTATCATGCCTACCCGGGCTTGGGAGGCACGGGTGCCCGGACCCGATTTCCGCCCTTCATGTTCACAATATCTCCCGGCACAAATTGAGAATAGACACACTCGACGTACGCCACTAAAGCTTCCTCCAGGCGTGCACGCGTCCCCCGGTGATGGTGGTGTTACCAAGACCAGCCAGCTCTGGCCCCTCGTTCGACTGAGCCCATGCGCAGTCGCCAAAGCCTGGGAATTTGCACATGACGCTCTCCCGCCCCGTTTGCAGCAATCTTCGGCCGGAGGACGGTCCGCGCGTTTCCGTGACATTGCCAGCACATTCGTGTTCTGAGTAGCTGGAGCGCGCACGGATGCCGTCGCGGCACTCAGCCTCAAGCAGCATGTCAGTCGAATGATGTGTCCACGACGCGTAATGGGTGAAATGGTCCTTCAATCGAAGGAGTAGTCTGAAGACCAAGTTACGGGCGCTGAGCCTCTAAAAGATTGCTGTGTCGTGTATTATAAAGTTTCTGGTCTGGTAGGTGAATGGGTCTGCAGCTGTTGCGGCCATACCTTTGGCCACGATTATGACCTGCTGGTTTGTATGTCACACACCCTTGATGTATTTGCAAAGCCTGCCGGTTGAGGATCGACTTCGAACACAGCACCTGTGCATGGTGTGTGTGTGTGTGTGTGTGTGATACTTCAGGTTCTTTTTCCCCTCTGTTGATGTTGCTGTGCCCGGGGGGACTTGAGTTGGACCTAGCACGAGGATTGGTGATGCAATCGCCCCTACACAGACTCGTAGCTACTTCTCAAGTGTGCCCCCTTGTCTGTCACCTGAGAAGCCACGATCTTATTCTTGTGTTGCCCTGCGTTTTTTTTAAGCAGCCGCGATTGATACTTGGGTGTCGCATGGTGCAACATCCCATGACTTCGCACGTATGAGCTGCAGCCTTGATTCCTGTCACCCTGACCTGCTCCGAGGCCGTCGAGCGCATCAATCAAATCGTTGCAAGAAACAAAGCACAGGCGAACTGTCATGCTTTGTCAATATTTGTTTTGACGGTCTGCTTCTGGTTTGAGAAACTGAGCTTCTGCACAGGCAGGTGTCGTGATTTAGCAGTGTTTGTCTTGACCTGTTGCAGCTTGGCTAAGCGCAGGCGACGCGGAACTCAGAGGAAGCAGCCGGCAGTCAGTGATTAAGACGCCAACAAGGTTTCACGCGCTGATGGCTCAGTGCTCTGCTGTAGACGGTTTTCCACGATCCCAAAGGGATACGGTTTCCAAAGTGAGGGCCCAGAGCTTGTGCAGCTAATTGCGATGTATTTCTGATGTATTTCTAGCTTGATGCTACTGTAGATTAAAGCATACTGAGTGTAGAATCCTCACGTCGTGCAGCCTCGGGCCTTGGGACAGGGGCAGCTGAGATCATGAGGTTGAGGAAAAAAAGGCTTGGTATGACTCATCCTCGCTATGTAAATTTCTTTGAAAGATTGGAAAGGAAGAGTGTGACCAAGTGTTGCTTGTGTCATGCAGCATGCCCAGTCATTCGTGGTCATGGGACTGCGATACTTAAGTTCCATGTCTGTTTGTGCGTGTGTGGCTTCGAGTACTGCTGCTGTGGATGCATGTAGTTCGACAAAAGTGCACCAAGGGTGCAAAGCTGCAAGGACAGATAAGCCCCAACTGATCACTGCAGCCAGCTAGTGCTTTGTATACCCAATTCAAAACGGTAGATCTGTTCCTGAAGCCATGATGACGTGCAGTCTGGCAGTGCTGTGCCATGTCTGCAGCGGGACAAAATTGACTAGGTCAAGGAGCCGACGCGATAGCCCGAATGGCAAACAGTATTGTTGCTTTGTGCTACCTATCTTCAGAATGATACTACGGAAGGCTGTTCTTGAGAATCGAGGTCATCTAGATCCGTGTAGCTAGCTTAGCGGCTTCAAGGTTGCCGTCCAAGATGCCGCGCTTCCTTGCCAGATTCGCTGGATGGGATGGCTAAGCAAGAGATAGTTTGTTCAGGCTTTCAGTTCTGTAGCCGGCAAGAGAGGTTGGAATGGGAATATCGATCATCCGCGCAGAGCCGTGTCGCTTTCGAGCCGCTATACTATTGTACTGATACGGACGGAGCTCTCTCTAAGCTGTTTGGGTCTTCGTTTGGCACCTTATTGGCACACGGCTGGTTTCAGGACGCATCTAGATAGCGAAGTGTTTGGGAACAGACTGCAGTGAACACCGGGCCGCCATGGCTAGTGTCCTCGATAAGCCTCAGGCTTGATCTACTCGGTGCCCACCAACGAATTGCTGCATGGAGCATGGACATGATCATATTCTGATGAAGACTTGACTTGACTGACTTTACGAAGGGAGTACCGCCCAGTTCACCCAGTCCAGACGACGTCGATGATACACCGGAAGCTGTACGATATCGTCCTTGTCAAAGGGCTTTTTGGATTTCAGTGATGGTTCATCGCAGGTTGGTACAATTTGGATGGACACAGCTTCAACTCATGTTTCAGATGCAAGGTAAAACCCCGAACCCGAGATATTCATGACCTCACAACTTGCCGTTCTAGGGATTCTAGTGGAGTCTTCAGGGAGTCTGTAGGGCTCAGAAAAATGGGTAACATTTCCCTCAACCCGTAACCCCGAAACCCTAAACCCCAAACCCCCGTATCAGAAACTCTTGTCGTGGTGTTTAAAAACAGCACACAGTCGACCTGCGGCTTCTTTAGCCCTCTACCCGAGAACCTCTCAACACGAAGCCACCCCGAGCGTTTGAGAAAGGGTTGACGCTGTTGGGGGTTTAGGGTTTGGGGGGGTTTAGCCCCACAAAACAAGCTCTTCACCCGGAGCTCGAGCCTCAGGCTGCTCACGGCCGCCGCGCGCTTGGTGATGAGCGAGACAGCAGGCCCTCTGTGACAAGGCTGTAGTCGAGGCGTTCATGGTCTTATCTCCTGAGCCCGAGACAGATACCCGCCCTCAAGTGCACAATAAAGTGTTCCGCATTTCTCGCGAGAAGGCACCCCTCAACCGTTAGCCTAAGACTCCGAAACCCTTAGGACCCCTGACGTGAGTCCCTTTGAGGCCGTGATCAAAGCCTAAATGCCACAGCCCCAAAGGCCCTGAAGCTCAAAAAGCCCTCTAAATCCCTCAAACCCGAAACCTCAAAGCCGGAAGCCCCCCTGAACCCCGACCCTCGAAAAATCCTAAAGTAACTCACCATGCAAAACTCCATCGAAGCCCAAAGCCCAAAAAAAGATGGTCGAAAACCATGGGGGGGGGGCCCGGAGCTGCGTGAGTTTTTTCAACCCAAAACCCCAAACAACCCTAAGCCCCTGTGGGGAAACAACCCTAAACCCCCGACTAAACCTATGCAGACCGCGGGCACGTGACCGAGGAGGACCTCCGAGCCTGGGAACCGAACCGGGCGAAGAGTTTCATCCATCTTTTTTGGGGGGGAAATTGGGGTTTCATATATTTAGGCTGTAGGGATCAGGGCCGGGGGATTTCGGCGGAGAACAAGCCCCAGCACCGGCCCTATTGTAAGAATTCAAGCTCGAGGTTCGGGTGTGGGCTGATGGGAATTTGGTTCGAGGGTTCGGGGTTTTATTAGAGTCAGAGTGTGGAGGGCTTTGCGTTTGAAGTTACGGGTTCCAGCTCATGTTCACGCTCGTGGGGGTTTCCTCTGGTCTGACTTCAAGCCCTGGGCCCCTTCTTGGGGGCTCCTTCGGTTGTGATGGGCATCCTGCCATTCAGGGTTGGGTCAGGGCCCCGTCTTCTTGGACTCCTGGTCTCGACAGCATACCTGGGAGAGGGGAGGAAGAAGGTCCTCGACCAATTTGGGTGCTAAGGGTTCAGGGTGAAGGGATTTATCTCGGAGATGACCTCCTATGCAGCACTAAACAAGCACTCGAATGCAGAATCTACCAGCCTCCGAATCCCTGACGCAAGCCTGGAAGGCCAAAGGCAATCATATGCAGTGCATGTACGAATACTGCAATGCAATGTAGTGTATACACTGCAATGTAACCTAAATGTTAATGTCTGGGAACGGGCGCCACACGCATCACTGGCCGTCTTCACTGCGCTCAGGGAAGTTGTTTGGGGTGATCGACGAAGACCAAGATGGCAAAGTGACCCTGGAACCTTTCCTGCAGTCAGCTGGGAGTGCCAGCATTGGAGTGTGGATTTTCTTGGTTCTATAAGACTACAAGGGATCTGTAAGGGGGTCTTGGATCTTGGGTGTAGGGTTCAGGGAACACGCTTAAAGCTTAAAGGTGTAAGTTTTAATTGCACATGGGGCTTAGGGCCCCGGAGGTTAATATCTCAACCTTGGAAGGTAATTCCTGGCGCCGGCACGTTTCTTCGGGTCTTACATTCAGCTGGGTAGTTGCAATATGTGGCAGCTTGTGTCTGTGTTGGTTCAACGACGTTTGAAGGCAAGACCGGTTGTCCCAGCCTTGGCTGGAGGAGAGCGAACCGCCGTAGTAGCATCCGACGCTGTCTTAGTGATGACATGGCAGCACCCGAGACTTGAAAGGGCTCTTGTTTGGAGATCGCTGGTACAGGGGAACAAAGCTTGGCCGAATAAGACGGGCCGGAGTCTCTGGATGATATCGAAGCCTGGACGATTACCAGTGTTATTCCGCGCTACCAGAACTCCGTGTCCGGTGATAGTCAGAACCCTTCAAGGAACCCTTGAACAATCTCTATTCTAATTAATTACTGGGGCCCCTAGATGAATCGCAAGCTTATGACGAAGACCACCTCACAAAGACACGTATATTGAACATAATGGAAACACCGC